TTTTACATGTAAATCCGCAGCTATTGCCTATTAGCAAGGTAACAAAATTGTGACATTAAACGCTCTAAACTTTACACCAATGTTGTTCTGACTCTTTGTAAATCTGTGGAAATTGTCGAGGCAACTTGGTGTGATACTGATGTAGGCATGCCATTGTAAGTGCTGCTTTAACTACAATAGTGTCAGCCTTGGAGTGCAATAACATGCACTGGTGCACACAGACACGCTCACACTTCGTCTACAGGCACAATCTAGAAGCTTCTGCATTGACCGAACACTAAAACAGACCATCAGCAACTGCATTATGGAGAATTGGGAATAAGAAATAGACACTTTAAACAATCAGGGAGGAAGATAGCTGAGCAAAGTGATGAATGCATGAATGCGTATGTGCAGCAGGAAAATGTGGCAGAGAAACATCTTAAAAAAGGGTGCTTAGCGGTATAAAGCTCAGCGTTGTTTATTGAGTGTGTGTCAGTGGGTGACGGCCCTTAGCTTTCCCCAATTAGGAGTCATTTCCCTGTCATGCCCCACTGGCCCAGTCATCACATGGAATCAAGCGACCCCAGGGCTCATCTCTGGCATGAGATAAGGGCAATGTAATTTACAAAGATTTATGCAAAGCTTACAGATCTGCCAATTAAATGTGGCAACAGAGCAAGACGTTTGCCACAAGAAGGGCGAGACACAGCTGAAGACAAGGGTCTGGAGTGAGTCTGTTATCAGTTCGAGCTCTGTTTGACTGGTAACACTATGGTTTTTCGATTGCTTCATTAATATCAAGTGATTAATAAAGACATCAAGACGTCACTGATGAATATAATACGTTTTAGTATCTAGAGACATTGTTTCTGCCATAAATGGACAACAGGCGTAAAACTGAAAACAATATAGATACTCAGCTCACACACAGTTTTGCACAGTTAAAAATTAAACCAATAGGGGAAGCGCCTTAAACATGCATTCTATCTGAAGGCCACTATAAACACATTCCTACTGAGTTTAAGGGCTCTGTTACTAATTTTGCGTAACGATGACTAAAAAATAAGTTTATTTTGTACATCTTGGTGATGCAATGGAGTATGAAATGACACGCTGACTTGCCAAGCACGAGACATTAGCCAATGAGCTTTTTACAGCCAGTTCTGTCCTTCATTGCCACATCAGTTTTTTTTGCAACTGAGATGGAAACACCCATCTCGAGGCTTTACAACAGGACTAATGATTAATGTCATGGTAACGACATCTGTCATCTATTGTTCATGTTGTCTATAGATAGATAACATTGCATTCCTTTAACTATGACGACTCGTTAATTAACAGGTAAACTTCTATAATATCCAAGTTATTATTCATCATTCAAAAGCCAGATCCTTTAGGAAGCCATACAGGCTATAAAATCACTTGAGTTTTCAAATATTATACAACAGCTTCGAAAAGCTTTAAATTCATTTCCCAGCCTTTCAGTGGATCACTTGATTTGACCGACACTAATTAAACATTTTTATTATTAGTGTCATTTTTCATGCTATAAGCATCCAGACAATAATTATGCATCTCTTCGTATTAACTGTTGTGTGTGTGTCTCCAGTTGTTTTGTACTTTAAAAGCCAGTCTAGGGACAGGCATTGCAAATTAGCATAGGCCCTGTGTGTGGCATGGTTCATGTTACATACTTGTCCCTATACAAATACACAATAAACAGTTAATGCAGACTGTACATGCAATTTGTACATGTGTAAATGCTCTACCAGGAATACATGTGGTTCATGAATGCAGTACTGCAAACGCAGGCTTTCAAATGCACACACACACATACGCGCGCGCACACACACTCACACACACACAGAGGCTTACCAGTTCTGCTGGTTTGTTAATCCTAGCCATGTATGGGGGACATGTGGAAGCAGCTTGCCACAGCTGATAGGAGAATTATGTGGGTTTTAACCAGCTAAATAAATAATTATGTTTGTGTAAATTCCTCAAAAGGATTTGTATTAACTCCTTTTTTTGATGGGGGATGAGAGATGCGAGGCATGGTGAAAAGACTCGTAGTAAGCCTACCATATGCTCTTTGAATAACGCATAAATATAAACAATACCATAGGTGTGTTAAGAGGAAAATGAGCCAAAGGGTTCTGAAATGGTCAGATTTCATCGAGGGGGTGTAATAAGTGTACTTCTCACCATGCTGTCACCACCTCTTCATGTCCCATTCTACTATCCTTACTGTCTCATAGTACTTCTTACCATAATCCCTCTTATGTTGTGACGGCTGGCACTCAGGCAAGACCCACATAGACACACAAACATGCATGCACATGAAAAAAAAAAACCCTGCTGGTTTCTTTTGTTCTTGGCCACAGTCCCAATATCAGGCAGACCTATTAGAAGCACGCCTGTCGAAACGGTGTACTTTACAAAGGTGAGGTGAGCAAAAAACCCCAAATAATAGGAAACAGGTAACATATCATGATTATAAAGAAGGTTTGGAATTAAAAAGCAGAAAAAAAAACAGTAAAGTCCAAACAACAGGAGCATGTAAACCTATAATCCTGCTGCGTCTCCATGCATCCACACAGCAGGTTACATTTTTTGCTGTTTGACACTGTCAGTCATCGCAAATACATGTACACACACATGTGCACGTACTCGCCAAATTTCGTTTCAAATGAGTGGCTTCACACATGCTAACACCTATAAACACACCAATGTTTCAAAGCCAGCTCAACTTAAGATAAATGCACCAGTGCGCTGCACGTCACTGATAAGGCAATTTGGAAGGAAAATAGCATTTCCCGTTTTACTTAAGAAAACAAGAAACATTCACTTCCACTTGAGAAAAAGTTATTTGTTTGCTGTGATTGGGTTTGTGCTCTGTAATGCTTGAGTTTCAACTTTGAGGCAGAACAAATAATGTATGCTACATAAATTGCACAAATCCCAAGGAGGAAGCCAGCTTGGACACAAGATAGGAGAGGCTCAACAGTTTAACCAGTTGTGCAAATCCTGGATTTTCACTGACTCTAACCCAGCTACATGCCTTTATAGTCTTCTAAATCCACATGCAAGTCGCAGTTTTAATCAGGTGATATGCTCAATATACAAAACACTAGCTTGTGTCTCAGAGTTCAATTACACTGTACAACTCTTGGCTCTGGATTACATCAAGTGCATATAAAACAAGTGGTAGCAAAGCACTGCTGAGGTGTATGTTATACTGTAGAAAGTCCCAGTTCTGTCATCATATGCCTAAACTATTGGACATCGGAGTCTTTAAAGAATGAAAACTTGATAAAAAAAAAACGTGGTAAAAGTGTTAAACACTGTATGTTGTAAGAAACAGCAAACTCTGATTTTAAATGAAAAATAGCAAACGTCACTAATGCAGCAGCTTAAAAGAGTTTCTTACCATTGTCTGTTGCGAGAAATGTGGCTTCATATATGTTGTTTTTTACATAGACAGACTCCCGGTCGAGCATTGCTGTGGTTACTATCTGACCGTTGCTTCTATTGATGGACAGCCAGTCTGCTGGGTCGTTCAGCTTTGAATACCTAAAGACACACAAAGACAGATCGATGGAGACGTTAGCGTTTGGCGTTTCCCTGTTTACAAGCAATTAGAAATTTTCTCTTGCATCTGTGCATACCTAAATTGCCTCCCCACACACACGGTCTAAAAATCACAACAGCTTGACCTTCACACAGTTTAATTCTTCAACGACTTCTTCTCCAGAGCGTGCAGCCTACAGTCAATTTCACCTCATTTTTTTTCCACTCCTGCGTATCAGCCATTGAAGTCAATTACCTCCCTAGTTAAGCACTGACGCAACTGCCTGTGTGTGTGTGTGTGTGTTTTACACACCCATTTTCTGAAAGTGTTTGCTTAAGCTTACACTGAGAGGTTTATATGCATATATGTCTCAATGCTTGCATGTTTGCAAATGTGCCTGTGTGTGTATATAGGGAATGTGTATAGTGTGGAGATGGGAACATGGGATCTTGGTACTGACAGGAAAGTGGATGTGGTAGCAGGTGGCAGCAGTCCTCTGGGATAAAGCAGCAGAGAAGGAACAGGGGATCATCTCCAGGACCGAATGCCAATCTCACCCTGATCTCGCTGTTCTTGTTTTGCTGGCTTTTGTTTCCTTTGGCTTGTTTCACACATTCATTTTTATCTAAGCTCTCTCTACTCATGTCGCCTCACCTTAACTTGAGGTGCTTTTGTGTTCATTCATTTTCGTAGCCTCGTCTGTATCTTCTCATCTGTGTCTCATTCATTCTCCGATACCGAGTTCATCAACAGAAACCGCTCTTGGTTCATGCTTACGCTATGAGACATCATCTGTAGACATGTGACACCTTGGCCTTGTGCACCTATGTTTCTACACCAATTTCATTTCATTTACTGAATGTGAGCCGGGGTGAAAAAGCCAACTTGTTATGTGACATACACTTCCAGCCTTTCAATCTCAATTCAAAATGAAATGGATTTGACCTTAACCCCGCTTTTATGTTTACTGAAATGTACTTTACTCAGCATTAGCGTACAGCTCACTTATTTATTTGTGCTTGATTAAATACTGCATAGCACTTCTACTTACATGCAGGAGACTGAAAGCCTGAAGGGATGGGTGGCAATAAGTAGGGGGGCGAGGGGTGGACAGAGACTATAATCTCTATCCTGTAGTGATTGAGGTTGGATTTTCCCAGCAGGCAGTGGGCATGATCCGAGGCAGAGCACAGTGCGGGGAAGGGAATCACAGAGATGACATTCCCACACTCTAGACAGATTCACACAGGCAAGCCAAGCCCACAGCCGCTAACAGGCAGACAGTGAAATCACCACCAGGACTACAGTGAGTCCATCACAGTGGGAGGGTGGGATAAAAGAGGGAGGAAAATGAGCAGGAATGTGTAGGAGAGGTGACATTCGGAAGTAGCAGCATGGCTGTATGATCTAATTTTAATGTCCTCATTAAGACCGACTTGATACCTACTGCTGTTCTGTGTCCAAATGCATTTCTATTGGTTTGACCATGCCAAGCTGACAAATGCTCTCTGTCTGTGGAGTGGAGGGCAGACAAATGGGTGTACATTTTAATGAGAAGAGGAAAATTAAGGATGACTTTTTCCCAAATGCTAGAAATATCATGTTTGAAAAATAAAAACATATTTCTGATCCTATTAAACAAACAGTTTTTGATCTGGGGAAATATTTTTCTTGATACCCTTTCATATCTGTCAATATGAAGATGAATTAAGCCAAATTTCTTCCCCTCCCTTCTGTCTCTGCGTTCTACTTTGCTTTCCTGGGCGTGGCTTTCATCCTGATCCATGGCTGGCACACCCTTGTCTCATCAGCTCACCTAACCAACTGCTTCTCCAACCACTCTCCGCCAGATTGTTCTGTCAGCTTCAGCAGTAAACTAACGCTGGGCCAACTCTGATTTATTTCCTTGTATATTTCTCTCTCGTGTTAACCAAGTTCTGTCTCTGCGCCTCAGATCTTCCTAATGTGCAAGCCAGCAACCAGTCAGCTACCTGCCAGCCATGCTGTCACTTCTTCTGCCACACTCACCTGTCAAGCCCACTCTCCACTGTCCTTCCCAGCTCTCTTCACCTCCCAGCTTTGCCTCCTGTCTGTCTTGGACCCATGCCTCATCACACAAACTCTTTTTTTTATAGTAGTTTTATAGTTTAAAATTTCTGCTAATGGGAATCTTTTAAGGTCACTAATTAACTATACACATTTTTTTTTATCTGTACAAACATCAGTGTTTTAAGCCCTGGAGTTTCTGCTATTTCTCTGGCAAACTATCAGTCAAAAAACATAAAACCAGAAGTATAATTTGCTGTTTTTACACTTCACTTTGTGTACAAAAAGATTTGGCATGTTAAGAGACTTGTTAATTATTTAACCTTAATTTTAGGTGGTGCACAGACATGATAGTGGTGTCAATCTTTTTATCCAAAATTCAGCAGAAAAGATTAGAAATACACAAATAGTTTCTTTTTAATATGCCTGACAAATGAGCAGTCACGAATGAACTTTACTCAGAAATCTCAGAGGTCAGTGCCTCAACATCTGGGCAAATAAAACCAATATTTTCAGCACAGCTCAATGCCAAAGCAAGAATTTTTGTTTTTCACTCGGATAACAGACCCTTTAAAATCAGGGACAGAGAAGGATTCAAATATGGAGCGCATAAATAGGTGTGCGCAAGACATTTTCTTCTTTTTTTGCCCTGCAAAACGACTACAGCACCTATTTGTCCCCGGGTACGTTCCACGATAACACGAGCGCAAGTACGCCCTCTGATGATAAACGCCGCAACACAAAGGTTTGTTCACAAAGCAGAGTGCTCTATTCATTCCCACACTTCAATTAACTCTCTCCAACTCCAGTCACCGCAGACAAATTAAACAATACTTAACGCACAAAAAAACTTCTGTATAAACAGTCTTTAGGGGGAAATTTCCAACACAATGGCTCGACGTTTTGGTGGAATCATTACCCGTGTTTTTGTATTTCAACAAAAAGTTAAGTGGAGAATATGGCTGGCTTCAAAATGTTGTTTTAACTTGCTGTAGTGCTGCCTATAGTAAACAACAGTGCTCTGGTCATCAGAGTGATGCCAACGAGAGCACCCACAGTGGTTTTGTTTACAAGTCCCAACTGTAAACAACGTAACCGTGGGCAACTGGCTGTCACCGTCGCTAACTTTTTAATGAAGTGCTATCCAGTATTTTTTGTCTTCTTGTAAAAATAAACAGTTTTCTCCAGTATGCTTCTGGAATATGAAATTTGGTTTCAATGTTATTCTGTGTGTGAAAGTTTTCCTATTCGTTCCCGCGCCTTATTTCCAATGCTTTCCGAAGCTCTCCTCTACCAGAAGGCTTCTCTCATTTGGGAGTTGCTAGGTGTGTGAGTACAGCTGGATGTATGATTAGGCCTGGCAGGTTAGTGATCTTAGCAAGCAGCAGGGAGAGGTATGACATTTATTTTTCAAACCCCCGACCCTGAGGATGAAAAATGCATGTCTCAAGCTTAGCCAAGGCGGTTTGGGTAATCACTTATGCCAGTGTCTCCAGTCCCATGTCTCGACCTTACTGGCTGGGTGTCTGACAGGTGATGCATGATGCTTCACTCTTCTTCCCTCTCCCCATCCCGCTCCTGTACACACTGCCTTTCCCCAAAGCCCACACTGTCAGTCTGTCCCTCCATTGATAAGCACCTGTCAACTTCAAACCTTGACCTGAAGTCAGCTCACCATGTTCAGCTCCTGTCCCCTTCCCTCCCTTTATAGTCCCTTAGGTCCTATTTCACTTTACTTTTGACTTTTAAGGCTCCCTCTAAATCTTCTCCATGTCTGACTTTTCTTTATGTATCCATTCAAAAAGACAGACAGCTTTTTGTCACACACACCGACGTGTGCAATATATTACATCTAACACAAAACCCGGTGTAATATCTAAACGTCTTTCCCATTAAAGGCATGCCTGGTTTAAGGCCTGTTTGACTGATGGCATTTGGAAGTACAATACTATGCAAAAGTCTTGAGCCACCCCTTGTTTGTTACATTTTGTTAAAAAAAAAAAGGAAATTGAAATGTGCAAACATAAATGGAAATACAGTGTTAAAAGCAAAAACAGTGTTAAGTCTAATTGTTGAATGTTGTCATTGCGTTTCTTAAATTTGTAAGGTCTTAGTTCAATCTATAGGATCAAGACATTCCTTTGTCTCTGACCACCTCTCCAGCCACTCTGTGCTGGGGGAGGTTTTATTGCAGATACATTCTATCTGGAAGATCTGATTCTTGTGATGTTGCTTCCTGCTTTTATGATCCTTTTGGTGAGCAGGAAGTCATGCATATAGAGACACATGTATACAGAGAGACACACACACACATTCTCACATGACACACACACACACACACATTCTTGCACATGCAAACAGATGTTTACACATACACACACATAGTGCCTTGTCTTAGAACCATTTGGGGGTTTTACGGTGGGAGGTGCTTTTGCTGTGATGTGTATTGTGTGAACTGTTTTCCCAATAAAAGGCAGCAAGCAGAGGCCGGATTTGGGGTCAGTCTGCGGTAGGATTCAGAGTGCTTTCTGAGACACCGGCCGGGGCCTCCCTTGCTAGCAAGTAAAATATGTTTGTCTTGTTTTTGCCGTTAACAAGAATAAGTTTCTAAACTAGCGGGGCTTGTGGAAACACAGACCCAACAAACAGAGTTTGTGAAATTCAAATGAGCTTGAGAGTGAGTATTTGGTATGACCACCTATTCCTCAACATAGTCAGAAACCTCTCAGGCAAGCTTTCTTTTCATTTTATTAAAGTAGTCTTCAGGAATAGTACTTGAGATTTCTTGAAGGTCATTCCAAAACCTTTCCTTGGACTTTCATACACAGAAAAAAACGTTACTTTAAACCCACTTTAAAAAAATTGTTACAGCTAAATCTATTAGTTTTAATCAGACAATAATTTAATTTAAAACTTTGACTTGAAGTACATATTTACTTAAGGACTAATTGTTTCTGTTGATTTTTTTCTGTGGTAAGTGATTTTAGGTAGAGTGAAAGAAACAGTTTCAAACCAGAAATCCCAATTTTCCATTGCAACAATATAAAATTTCAGTTCAGCTAAATAAATCAGGATAGCTTTTAAAACGTTTTTTCTTCTTTTAAATTTAAACGGATTCTTTGCCAAGTTGTCTGTTATGTATGGACCCTGGTTCATCCCTTGAGTCAGGTACCTTTTTTATGGTTAAATGACTCATAGGTCACTGTGAATTGATAAAAAACAAACAAAGAATATCCCTTTGAAAATGGTAAGGCACAACGAGTGGATCGAAAATAAGTGAAAAAGCAACAAATGTCCAAAGAAAAGCTTTGAACGACTTTCAGAAAACCCAAGAAAACCCAGAAAAATACAAGAAAGTCTGGCTCCTTGGAAGCAAAATAGAAAGAAATGAGTGAGACTCTTGCACAGCACAGCATGTGCAGCAGTATCAGTTCTGTGTGATACAACTGAGAAAATGGCAAAAATGAAACCCTGAATTTAAAATTCTTCAAAAATAATGAAGACAACTGGTGTCCTTACGTAACGACTCGAGCAGATACCTTTTATGGAAAAGGTGTAAAGCAGTGGGATTGATAACAATTCTGTCCAGATGGAACCAAATGAATGAGGTGGAGGATTTGCCATCTCTACCGTCTTTGCTTTTCATGTGGCGAGAGCGGAGGAAGGAGATTTAGCCTGTGTTTATGTCAGTCGGACTGTGCCAGAAAACAGCATGCTAGTAAAAGTGTTAACCTAAATCCAGGATGCACCGCAGTCTTGACAGGTCATGGAAAAAGAGAGTGGAGACCAATGAGTTAAATCCACAAAAAGTAGAAACTGATCTAGCGAGGAAGATAACAGAAAAAAAAGAAAGTGTGGGAGCGAGCAAGAGAGCGAGAGAAGGAGCCCAGCTGGTGACTTTGGAATCTTCCTAAATTATAATGTACACCCAATTTACTCTCATTTGCTGTGAAATTATCTAGGAAATTTGTTTAGATCTTTTCCCCGGAGAAATTGAAAGGAAGGAGCTGTTAAAGTGCAAGGTGGTTGGAAGGAGGTGGTCTTAATGTCACACCAAACAGCCGTGTTATCAGCTTAATTGTGTACTCTTCTGTGCTAGTTATAAATCACGGTGCACTCACTGTAATCAGTACTGACATTGTACATGCACAAATGGAAACATATGGGTTCTGCAGTTGTATGGGTGTCATTTAAAGCCTTGTTCTCTCTTCATGTAGAATGCAGAGCAGATTGTTCTTAACACAACCCATCTAAGTTTGAAGGGTCATAGTGGAGCCACTGGTGCTGTCAAACTGACAGCAGGACTTAGAAAAGACCTGCTGGTCATTCAAAGGTTGGTTTACATTTAAAATCCAGAGAGGCTTAGCGCAGAGAAGAAACACTGCAGGTGGACATAATGCTGTGTCAGGTGTTTGGGCCTCAGCCAGCTGTTCTCTTTGCCACCCCCACCTTGCTTCATCTCTTTTGTTCTCTCTCTCTCTCGTGTTGTGTGCATCTGTGTGTGTGTGTGTGTACCTGCCTGTATGTGCTCATGCAACCTACAAAATGCACACACATCTGATTACCCCAGAGGCTACTGCTCCCTATTAACCTTTTTACCCTCCTTACTCAGAGTTCTCTGCTGGCACATAAACTTCTCACAGTAAGATTTTGAGAGATGGGTAATGCCAAAATATAGTCCCCTTTTTGAACTTTGACCTCTCACCACTGACAGGGAACCGATCCGAGGCTTTTTAGCCCACTGCCAGTGCATATGGATGCAGGTTTGTGCTTACACAGCAGATAGCCACTCTACAAGCTAGAATTAATTAGACAATATAGCCAAACCACATGGAAAAGATGTTATCTAATTAGATTTAAAGGATATACAAGATCAAAATTAAACGAATGCCCTACTGAATGTTTCGATTCTGTGGACAGAACTGTCTCTCAGTACTCGCTCAGTACCTGATTATCTGCTGCATCTGAAGTCGGTCGGGATCTGACGCCGAGAAGGTCGTCAGGCTGGTGCCAGCAGGGACACCTTCCTCAAAGCGGATGTGTTTTGGGTTTGTGGGGAAGTAAGGAGGTTCGTTTACATCCTGCACAGATATGGTGACCCCAGCCGTGGACTGGAGTGAGGACTGGATGCCAGTGGCTAGGTGGGCCTGGTTGGACACCACTACCGTCAGCATGAAGGCACGGTTCATCTCAAAGTCTACCGGCTGGAGAAAGGAAAAAAAAAAAAACAGAGTTACTTACATTTGAAAGGAGAGAATGCTGAACACATTTGAAATAGTTTAAGCTTTTTGAAACTGTTGGCCTTCATGTTGCTTGTTCCGTCTTCTCTTTCTATCTCCTTTGTGTGCAGGTTGCCCTTGTCTCTTCATCTCAGTATTTGTTATTTTTCACTCTTTCTCTCTATGAGGACATGCTCTATTCTGGACCAATTCTGGGTAAGATTACTGCTTTTCAAATACAGTCTCTTAGATAACAGTGTTACCTACAGCAGGGTAAAGGTAACACTTTAGAATAGTTTTGCATTACCAAAAATAAATACCCCTTTCAGCTTGCTCCTGAGTATACATCCACAGGGTGTCTGTAGCCCTCTGTACATTTACCACTAAGTGTATTGATTTTACTTCACTGCACAGCGTCTTGATATTGGCAACATCTCTCCCACCACATGACCAGCAAGAAAGCTATTAATTTTCTTCAGACCAACGACGTTAACCAAAATACAAGCTAGCAGGTGAAAGACACCCGTTATGTCTCGAACAAATAATTTTGCAAAGAATTACACAATTTAAAGGCCATTCACTTTGCAATTGTGCTGGTTAACTTGACTTACAACCATATAGTTGTAAGTCAAGTTAGAGGAGATTAGAGAAGGCTAATATGGGCTATATTCTAGGCTATATTCCTGGTATGCAGCTACATGCAAGGAAGTCAGAAAGAGATGTAAACACTGCAAATGTGGTTGGGATTTTATTATTATTATATATATTTTTTGTATATATTTATATTTTGCTTATTTACACTTTTTGCTCTCATTACAAAAGAATGAAAATGGGAATGTGGTGACATTTAGTTGAAAAAGTAATTAAATAACTTAAAAATGAATTCTTTATGCTACTTATTATAACAAAATAGTAAGCTGGGTACTCAAATGTGTAACTGTAAAACTCATTACACCAACGCTGTTCTGGCTCTCGGTCCTTTAACAAAAGTACATTTTCTCTTGATTTTTTCTCCAGGTTTCTTAAATTCTTGCCCTCAAACAAATCAAATGTCCAAGAATGAAGGAGACTGTATTATGTACTGGTGAGGATAAGCAATGAAAAATATAACAGAGGTGACTAACCTCCCGTGTTCATAGCCTGCACATTAACGAAACACTGCAGGCTATAGAGTTAAAGCTAGAGAAGGTTTAAGTGATCTTTTATTATATAGTCGGATTATTACTATTATAGCATCAACAGCATTATTTCTTTTTCTGAAGAAATAATTTCCAAGCATCATGCTTGGACTATAATCATTATACTGATTAGTGTAAAGATCCCTGTCAACATTTCTCTTTTCGCCTCTACCTGGGGAATATGCATTAAACCTTGCTGATGAAAAGGGACATGATAAATGAACAGATGTCATGTCAAGTAGTCTCCTGATGAACAAAGACGCACACAGACACGCAGACACAGTGCAGGGCTGATACTGTTCGCCGTGTGTTGTCATTCCTTTTGAATTAAAAGTGTGTATATGTGTACACTACAGGGGGTTTTGAGACCTGAGCTTAAACCACAGTGACAGTTCTTCTTCTCCCCTAATGAAGAATACACAATCGAGTTCAAATGACAGCAAGCAAGGAGATAAAAACAGAACAAGTATGCTGCTTGTAGTGTCCACTTGTACATTTCTAAACAGGCAGATGATAATTACTGCTCCAAAGCTGATGCTGATGTTAATGACTTTGAGCAGATCTGTATGTTGCATCAACTCACTGTTATCGGCGGACAGTCTGAGAGCACAGAGATAAAAAAAACAACAAAATGAGCGCTTTCAGGAAGGTTGGTTGACAAGGCCACTGAGGAAGAGGTGTTTGTGCCGGTGCTACGGTTTGCCTGTGTATGTACATGCACGCAAGTATAAATAAATGTAAGCACGCTGGTGTGTATTCGTCTGTGACCTCGTGGAGCACTGGGAGCCCATTTACAGGCTAACCACGCTCAAGGCTCTTTGATCTAAAGCCAGTGGTATTCAAAACACAGGGAGGTCTAGAGTATAGCTGTAGGCTACATAAAACACACATACACACCGAGACACACACACACACGCCCTGAGGGAAGCCAGAGGGGTGAGAGGTCAATAACATGGCTTGCATCGTTTGCCCATGAGCCATCACATCTTACATCTCCTTGAATCGCTTCGCTCTTTTCTCTTTTTCCCTTTTACCTAATTTGTTCCGCTGGACTTCAGCTTTCCACCCCCTCGTCTTTTCACATCTGCCCTACCCCGGCTCTCTGTGATCTATGCTCTCTGCGGGCTGCATTCCTCAATCCTCGGAAATCTGTCTTCGCCTCACTTCACTTCTCCTTTCCACTTCCCCTGTCATCTTTGGTGTTTATCATAAGCTGTGATTTACATAACTTAACTACTCATTTGATCCAAGGGGCTTTATTTGTGTGTCTGTGTGGGTTTGTATTTTTTTTTTTGTGTGTGTGTGTTTGTGTGTTTACTGGCTTTATTACCGTAACGTAAAACGAGAATACGTCTCACAAAATCCACAGAGAGCAGCGCAAATGTGTGACATGATCGGGTTAAATCCTCACCCCTTGTTTAAGGAGGAATTCAACTCTCTTGTGGAAGACTGATGCGTATCTAGGTGTCAGTGTAATTTAATCTGTCTGTAATAGCAGCCACAGATGACTTGGTTAAAAAAAATGTGTTTTAGAAAAAAAAAAAAAAAGCAGGAACAACAAGCTAGCAGTCTTATGGGTTCTTGACTTTACCTATTACAAGCTGTCTGATGTGAATGTTCTGTCTCCCTTTTCACAAAGCAAGCCAAAGCACCCTGTTTACTTGTTGAGACTGTCTATTGCTCGCTTCGTCCCAGGGGTTGTCCTGTCTCTTATTTTATGATTTCCTGATAACCTCCCACGGGTCCCTATGCAAGCTTAGGGCTACCCGACTGCCTGCTGAATTTTGCATCAGGGAGTGAGAGGAATGGATTATAAAAGGCAGTCATCTAGAGATAATGAAGAGAAGCAAAATGCCAATGCTCATTGCTCAGGGTGCTATGGGAATTATAAGGAGATGTTATTGCTATTTTTTTCAGATTATTATGTGATGTGAGATGCAATATGCAGGAGTCAGATACATGGTGAGAAAGCCCCTGGGTGAAATAAAACAGTTATTTCTACAAAACCCGTGAAACACAGTAAGCACATTTACAGAAAGCCACACAAAGGATGGCCACAGAGATGCAAATCAACAGGACACACATCTACAGTAAATGCACACACACACACACACAGTTTATGACTGATGTTATATGGAGGCTTTTTTTCTAAATGGGTTAAAATCATGCGGACAACCTCTGACTGAGAGGTCAAACAGTAATGTAGCAGGCTGTTACAAGACAGGACTTTGTTGTTGCTGTCTTTTACCACAGCAGCTACAACATTATGAGTGTATAAAAAACGTTGCCTTTGTAATTGAGAAATCAATACCTAATTTGCTACAGTGGTCTCACCAGCCATTGTGTTTAAGTCTCTGTGTGAGCGTACGAGCTGTTTCTGAAGGGCACAGCGGTCTCCAATCCCTCATTTGGACATAAAGGGGCATATGAAAGACAAAGACCCCAATCTGTCCCTATTTAACTCTGTAGTCTATTATTACTGCTTGCACCTAAATCTGGAGGGGCTTTGACATTCAACAGAGAAAACCAGTGTGTTTCTTCTACAGGGAAGGGCTCAGAATGTTATGTTAGGCCTGGATCTTACCTTCACCACGGTGACCATGCCATCATTTGAAATCGGGTCAGTGCGGATGGTAAAATGCCCAGATGGGTCTCCGCTGATGATCCTGTAGATGGCATTCCAATTAGGGGAGTGCGGTTGATCAGCATCTATAACCGTCAGGTTAGCCACAACGACATCTACACGGTTCTCGGGGACCTCTCCAGAAAACTGTAGAAAGAAAGAGTGAAATGTTACCTCGTGATGCATCACTTTGAAACATCTCACTGCCGCTGTGGTCGTTTAAGATGCATTGAGCCATTTGACTGTGGCAATTTCTACAAAAAGCCACTGAGTGCCTATCTTGCTTTTCCATTTGTCTTTATAGAAACATTCCTCCTTTCAGGTTTTCAGGTAGAATAATTTTAATGAATTCGCTTTTACCACTGCTGGGTAGTAAACAAGCAGTAAACACAGTTTCACACTAGCAAGCACATGCACACAAGGGCGTTGTTCCATTTTCACTGCTTCCTGCATTGCTAGTACACATCATTGACGAGCAATACTATTTCATCCCTTAAAAAGCCAGAGAAACATGGGAGAAAAGAATGGGTGAGGAGAAGAAAAAAACAGGAGTGGGGAGGGTTAAAACAGATGTTTAAGTGTATATGAGTGGTTTTTAGTTGCCCCTGTCCTGTACAAACACATGTGCTTTGCCCTGATAAGCCTCGATGAGGAGTGAGCTGCTGTCTGTTATGCGTCTGCTATGTTAGGGATTCATCAAAGCTGTACAGGCTCAGTAATAAATCCCACAAAGACCCATCAACTAACTATTGCAATGACTCCACTCCAACTCCGTAAAACACAACTTGACTGTAGCCCTACCTACACAAACAACTTGTCAACTCTTAACCAATTACTTGAGGTCAGAGCGTGTTGGCATGACCTCATCTCATCTGCAGGCAACAGGCATGTAGTACCGCACAGTCACCGTGTCACATGGGTAACAGGCATGGAAGAGCGACTGAGTAGCTTATGTGAGGATATCAAAGAGCAAAGCCCCAGACCAAACACTCCATCGGATCATAATACCCTGCCTGGCAAACCTCGCATCACCCAGCAAACAGCCGACAGCAGCGGGCAGATTAGGGGGCTGCGTCGGGAGAGCTGTTCAGAGACTCAATGACATTCTTAAGACAACAGACAAGTCCGGGTGGTCCTGATGCGCTGCCTGCTTTGGATAGGCAGGCTGTCGTTTGTTAGTGTTAGAGTGTGTACGTGTGTGCTCGTGTGGTTTATTACTGTGGTTTGGTTCAGGGACTCCCCAACGCCAGTTCAATAAAATAAAACTTCAGTGGTGGTTCTTATAGGCTCCCTAAGGAGCATCTTATTTCTCAACACACAGTAACAACTAAGGGCAAGTGTTAATCAAATCTGATGGAAGACTTTGAAGGGTACACCGCAGCTCTGATTATCAGCGCTGCAGTTTGAGCTTTTTGTCTCATTATCTCTTTATATAGAGGAGGGGGGGAGGGGGAGGGGCGTGATACGTCACATCAAGAGTTTGAATAAATTAAGTCTCGTGTTTTTCTCTCAGATAAAACTATTATTACTACACTCACGTGGCAAACACAAACTTGAAAGGGTTCTTTGCAAAAAACGTCAAATGTAAAAGACTAAAACTGCCAACATAAATATGTACAGGACGTCAAGGGCAACGCATATTACAGTCAATAACTTCCAATTACTGCACTATTGTCATTTTTGATTTTAGATAGCAAGTATGTTAACAAGCATCAAATTCCTGTGATGAGTAATGCAACGCAGTGTGCCTTTCAGCATAACAAAGTAAGTTTAAGAATGCAGTTAATCTGAACATTTTCAAGGAGACAAGAGCCTTTCTATGCTGAATAATAGACAGGTGAGATCTTTGAGTAAACCTTCAGATAAGTACTTGAAGTCATTATTTTTCCTCTCTTAAACCAAACGTTTCTCCGAATTATCATTTACAAACGCTCTGTTTTCAAGGGTTTAACTTTAATGACAGTGATCTTTGATGGATGTTGGGGTTATTGTCAATAATGGATGGAACAAAGAGCTTTTAAACATTGGGAAAAAAGTCTAGAGTTGCTCTCTTTCTTTCACTGTCTTAGTGACTTATTATACTAATGCTGCGGCTTCTATTAGTTCTGCTGTTAGTGGGTCTTTTAACATAGACCTTCTGTATCACCATCTACAGGCACAGGCGTAAATTTCCTCTAATTACATAGGCTTGTATTTTTTTGTATATGATACTGTCCCCGACTGCTGGACTTTCTGATTGTGATTGGCACACAGTGCTGTTGGCTTTCTCACAACACTTGACAAAACACCTCTTGCCAACACCCTGAACTCTCTGTCACTTTTCTGGCAGTGGAGAAACACTAAAAGAGGCAAAGAGAGGTAAAAGCGAAAGCACAGAAGTGACAGGGGACTTCATCATATAAGCTTTGTTAGGATAGTAGCTAAGAAAGCACTGCGGTGAATCTTGCACAGAGACACTCTGATTACATGGCTTTACGTTTCTACGTATTCCCAAAAAGCAGTGAATGCCACATTTCATCCGTCTGTACCATGGATGGCACATGCATGTATGCAGCCCTGAATATCCACCCAAAGTCTTCCCATCTGTACCCATGCACCACCCTTTGCGGACTTGAAAAATAGGCCAGCCTCTGATAGGCATGATGAAATATTAATCTCCAACATTAAAGACAAATTCCCCAAACTTTATATTTCTGGGACATGTTGAAAGATCTATGGGGTTTATTGCAAACACTAAATATTTGCATAATGGCCTGCATTCTCGACAAAATGGCTCTTATGTTATACCCCCATGAAAGTGGATGATTTATGAACGGAGTGGGTAAAAGTGCTCTGCTCATCGTGGCTCCAAAACCTCCACTAAACTTGATCATCAATATCCATGATAGTATTAACTTCCCTCTGTGACGCTGATGGAAATGCACTTAAACACGGTGGAATACAGAGAATATCAATCTATTATTGCCCACTATCATCAATACACCACCATCGGTAGAGAATCTTAATGCAGGAAGGGGGTGCCGAGTCAGTAGAGGCCTCTGATTTACAACGAGCCATGTCTACACTTTATCACTACTGCTGTACAAAATAGCTCACCCTTCTTCTCTCCCCATCATTCTCTCGTCACTTTTTTCCTTTTCATTTTCCATCGTTGACTCTACTTGGTGGTCCACTCATCAGCTCCCCTTACTGTTTTCTTTCTTTCTTCGCCCTTTCCTCTGCTTCTTCCTTCCCTCTGCCCTCCGAATGCCCTGCTTTGTGTGACGTAGCAGTTCTCTGATGAGCTCTGTGACTGACATATGCTTACCTCTAACGCCAAGTCATCATCATAAGAGTCTTAATAGCCCCCAGTGCAAATGCTAATGCTAAAATTGCTGCTACCACCTCTAAGAGTTGTGTACAGTATACTGTTTGACTGATACTGCCTCCGTCGATATTCCAGCAGTTGCAAAGCTAAGCACCTTATCTACCCGACATAACCAGGCTCTCATCCCTGATGATAGGAAGCCACACATCCAGAATAATCCTGACATCTGAAACCACACTGACACAGAGACAGCTTTTTCATTAAACAAAACATGTCGAGCGCAGAAAAACAACTTCACTTTTTTTTAAATTTTCTGAACAAATGCATGTCTCTGCCACATCCTATGAAACTTATTTCCAACCATAAAAATAATAAGTCTGATTTTTTTTTTGTTTACAGCTATAAGTATAAAAAATGATTGAGCTGCTGTCTCAAATGTCTCAAACATTTATGCATTTTACAGATATATATATACATATATATACTATATAAAATCTATATATGTGCAAGTGAAAGTAGAAATAACCTGAATCACTAATTGATTTAGTGATGATGTTCCAGAATGGCACCACCAGCAATATATTACATATATTGCAGTACTTTGGATTTTTAATTTTTACTTGGCTCTCAGTAATGACCTTCTGCAATGTAATCATCATTCTAAATATCACTATCATGGCAACAATCATTAACCATTTGCTGGCTCTAGTTTTCTTGCTCATGAAAGTCAATGATATGGATCTGTTATTCCTCACGAGTGCGCGTGCACGAGTATGTGTGTTCGCATGTGTTTGTGTTTCAGCTCTCTACAAGCAAATGAGCAATTATCCTTTATAAGTCCCCCTCACTGTCCTTGTGTAAATCTTTCCTTGTAACGACATAACAGTGTAGATTTCTCTTTTTTCAATTTTTCCTCCCTCTATGTCTTCCCCCTTCTTCTTCTGATATATTTCTTTTTTATGATTTTTTCTTCTCCAACATATGATTCCCGCCCTCTTCTCTTAACCCGACTCCTCTATTTCTTTGAACTGTTACCCATTGCCCATTACCTCATTTGTAATAACTCACAGTTCTGGAGGTCAGCATGGGAGGGTTGTCATTGATGTCCGTGACAGTGATGATGGCAGTGGCTGTGTTGGAAAGGCCAAAGTTCAGGTTGCCCTCCATGTCCGTGGCCTGCACGATAATGGTATACTGGGACACTTTCTGTAAAAGACAGTAATAGAAAAAAACAACAGTGTGCGGTTATTCATCTGCAAAAAGCTCCCTCTCACTACAGCAGCAGTCGCAGACTGTGACTCCCATGGGGGAAAAGAAGCTGAGCCTGCGTTCTCTTCTATAGTGACTGTCTACAGTCTTATTTGAAACACAAAATCACAAGGGTGAAGTCTTTCATTTGACTGAGTTGAAATCTCTTCACTGGAACGTATCCAGACTTCAGACCATCTGAAGGCACCACTGTGAAGCCTCCCCATTGGTACAGCATGCCATCAAAGTTATCAAAGGCATCGCTTATTCAGCGCCACTGATGGACAGATGTGAAGAAAATGATCCAACTGACAGAGATTAATAGACTATCTATGGGGCAATAATATGAGGGAATGATAAATGCCGTTTCATCTCTTGAAATGACATAGTGTCACTTCAGTGGATGCTGAAATATTTCTTGTTTTTTTTCTCAGCCATGTACCTCCTTTCTCACCATTTTCCCCTCCTTCTGTTCTTGGCTTCCCCTGTCTCTTCTTCTGTCCCAGGGTGCAGTTAATGGGCTGCAGGAAGGATGGAGCCCAGAAGCTGACTGTCTGGATAATGTGTCTCGTCATTGAGATTCCCAATTACATTCCCAGTGTCTCTCTCACCTGCTAATTACCGAGTAAATATCCCAATTAGGCCAGGACGCCACATCAGGAGGATTAGACAGCTTCTCTCAGTTCCTCTCATCTTGATGCTAGATGAGATGCTGAACTCCAACCTTGTACACACACTCTCATTAACACCCGTAAATACACACAAGCATCCACAAACACATACACACACCTCTCTTTCTCCATATCTTCTGCTTGCTTGACTGTCCCATCAGCCTGTGTACAGCGTGTACACAACACTCTCACTAATTAGACAAGGGAGTAATTATGTAGCGCTCCTCTGAACCTCTCAGCGCTGCAACAACACCGCAGCATAGCCAGTCTTCTCTGGAGTACTAAGGTCTGTTACTGTCAACAAGCTCTTAAAAGTCCACTGCAGACCAGTGGAAATCTTTAAAAGAGAATCAGTGTGGGAGTTTACAAAGAAGAGGAAGAAGACATTTCAAAAGTAAAGAACAGAAGATAGGATAAGAGGCGGCAGGGGATGCAACTGAGGCACAAGGGAGGGATAATACCAAAAATAAATCGTGCTTTTTTTTCCTAGCGCCTAACACCTCCAACACTCCAGTCCAAGAAGAGAAGGGAGGTGCAGAAACTTTCCAAGTTTCAAAGGGCTAAAGTGCTGACTAAAAGTGGACCAGGTAAACACTGCAGTGTGCATCGTCGAATTCTTCCTGTGAAGTTTATGTACAGTACAGAAGGTACTTTTTTCTGGCAAGGTTAAGACTTTTATCTGCCGTCTAGGAAAAATGCTGGGACACTGAAATATGCGTTTATATGCTGGAGAAACTGTTTGCACACAAGTTTATTTGAAAAGTAGTTGCACATATTCATCCATCATACATATCCATTAATTTTCTGCAACATCCAGTTCCTTGTCCAGGTGGTGGAGGAGGCAATCTAAGTGCAGATTGGGGTAGGTGGGGTAGTTCTTGGGTCTACCCCAGGGTCTTCTTCTGGCATAACATAAGTGGCATCCAGAAGAGATCATAATCAGAGTGCTGAACCACCACAGCTGATGTTTCACTTCTTAGACCCTCCTACATGACTGAGTTCTGACACCCTTCAGAAGAAGCTAATACAATTCAACACAAAATGTGTATGCCAATTGGTGTCTGCTGGATAAGCAGGTGCTGTAGAACAACTTCAAGGTGGTATTTCACCGGAAAGTTGCAGCATTATTTGGAGTGACACCAAGTACCATCTCTAAATTGAAGGCTAAGTTCCATATAACAGGGGATGTCAGAGACAGGACACGAATAGGTGTCACAAAACGACATTTTCTCATCCCATCAGCACTCAGGGAGTCAAGAGGATGGAATGTTCTGTCTGCAGTCCTGAGTTCAATCCCATTGAACACTTGTGGGATCAGCCTGGGCATGTTGTTCGTGCCAGAGTGACCAACACAACCACATTGGCTGACTTGCTGGTTGAGAAACGGGATGCCATCCCACAGCAGTGTGTGACCAAGCTGGTGACCAGCATGACGAGGATGTGCCAGGCTGTCGTGGCTATGAATGGCTACTGACTTCCATGTGTGGCACCATTTAAGGAGAAATAAACAGTCTTTCCAGCAGTATAAGATTTAAGGCCAAGAGACATTTTTAAAACAAAGAAATAATCAACCAAACACAAATTTCCTGAGTTTATTTAAGACACTTAATTTCATTTTTAAATAATCAAATCAGTGTCACTGAAATACGTGTACATAGCTACACCATATATACGAATGTGCACCTAATTTTATTTTTTGTTTGTTTGTTTGTTTTATTTTTTTCTTAATGTGGCAAATGATAGCTCTGCTAGCTTACACTGACTCAGCGTGCATACAACTTTCTGCTTGAAAGTCGAGCAGAACCAAGCTGGTTAGTAGGGCTGCCATGAGACTTGCTCTTCAACTTGCTTGTTTAAAATATCTTTTCACAAAGAGAAAGATGGGTTCTCTCCCAGTGCCAACACTGGACTAGTAGTAACTGGTTATGTAACATCTTAGAACCAATAGTTAACTGGTTTTGTGTTAACTGTTGATGACATGTTAACATGTTGATATATGGTTTGGATATTGTTCTAATCCTGATTCAAAAAGTTGGATTAGGCGTTGTTGACAGCGGGGAAAGATCTATGAGCCGATCCACTTAATTCAATATTGCTCTGGCTCTTTGGCTTTAAGACGCCACCTGTCACCAGCAGTGCACTAGCTGCTAGAGAGAGAGCATTGCCTGAAGAAAGCTAACTGCAAAGGGTCAGCAGTTTGGAGGCTTTTCATGGCTGTTACGTCAACAGCTTTTGGCATATATATATTTTCACTTAACTGTAGTCTGGGATATTTATCATATTACTGGATAAGTAAAAAGGCTGAAAATGGTGCTTTCTCTAGCTTCTTGCTCTATTTCTGTTGTGCTCTTGATTTGCTGGGAGATTGTTTTGTCATACTTACAGTAACATAAGTTGAAATTGTTGCCAATTTCATTTCATTTCACCATTTCACCCACATGTGTCTAAGGAGGTGCACATTTGAGTGTATGCTTTCACACAGTGACCGCAAGGAAAGGAGAAACTGTAAAGCCGTAAAAGGCAGCAGTATGCAGTGGCCTTACCCTAGTCTCACACTAGACTGACATGACTACCACAAATAAATTAGGTAAAGAAAATGAGTATAACTTTATTTAGAATTTATTCTTCTACTAATAAATACAAGTTCAATAAATCTATATTCTTGGGTATATTTATGTGTTGCATTTTATTTTACAAAGTCAGAAAAGAAACGCTTAAGTTGAGGCTGACACAAAATACTGATTATCAGTCTCTTCCCCAGAGTCAGGAGTTAATTTAACACCAGCATTGGAATGAAATTTAGTCTTGTTGACTCCACTTACATCCCATTCTTCCAAAAGTGATGCCCTCATTTGTTGTTTGGATAGTGGAGGTGGAGAGTGTTCCCAAAGGTTTTCAAATGGGTTTAAATTTTGTCACTTATCAACAATGTATTGATTTGCAGAGACTCTTTTAATCTAAGGAAATCGACTTTGCCTTGAACAATGCATTTTGGTTCATTCTCAATTTAGGAGTGTTAACTGTTGGTGTGAGGTTAAAAACATTTTCTGGGCTAGTGTGAAAGGTAAACCTGGGGCCGGGATGTAGATGAGTGCTAGAAAATGTATGGATGATGATGTTTAAAGGGAAAAGAGGCAATGTGTAGCTATTGTTTTCCCTTAGTCTCTTTTCTGAAGATTTACGAGCCTCATTTGCACCTGGTATCAACATGCAGTACTGATGTGTTATCTGGTTAATGAAATCTGCTCATGGGTCTTAGACATGGCATCGAAAAGCATTAAAAATGTCTGTATTACTAGCCTTACTGTAATTTGACATCAATGCTAAATGGGGTTAGTAGATTTTTCTGAAAATATGACAGGTCCCAGGTTGGATGGAGGGATGATTCTCTGTTGGCTTGACTTTTTCTTTTGCTGACGTAGGTCTGCCTGTAGTGTTTTTGTCAAGTTTGTGGAAAGTAGCAGGAAGATGAAGAGTTAGATGAGCTTTCATCTTGTTGGGAATATGACCAGCTTGTGCATATTATATTTACACGTGGCTGTTGTCTGATTGTAAAGTAAGCAGATGTGATCTGAAAAGGAAGTGAAAGCGAGAACGCTGATCCCAGTGATACTAACCTGGAAAAACATATGTTATTAAAAAGGTTATGGGCAAGGGAAATAATTATCTCAACACAAGTTCTTTGAAGTACAATCTTGTCTGTGTGTGTGTGTGTTTGTGTGCATGCGTGTGTTTAGGGGTGCCAAGAGTGTAATCCTACGTTTAGGGGTGACTGTGTGGATTAGCAGTGTACTGATAAACCAGAGCAAAAAGAAAAGCGGTTCAGCTGAGACATTTTTAGTCTATGCTCCCCTTGTACCTCTCTCCCTCTGGCACCATCATGTCTCATCCTGCTTCTCTGTCTCCATCACACTATCTTCACTAACAAATTCACACACTTACTCCCCCCTCATTGTAATAACCCACCTTACCAGCTCAGTTTTTGTTCTATTGCTCCCTTCAGTTTTCGTTTTTTCACTCTATTGCCTGTGTTTTATCGAGTGTAGATGTGATTATGGGCTTTTGTGTTTGTCTGACAGGTGTCAAGGGCATTCTATCTCAGATATTTCCACTCTATCTTTACCACACAAACACCACACACACACACGCACACTCACGAGCAGCCCACTGCTGCGTGATGTGTTGTTAATAGGTCTGTCACTGGTGACAGTCTGGGAGGATGATCTGTCTCGGAGATTTCTTTGCAGAGTTGTCACTGGCACATCCATGTTGTGAGAATAAACACATTTGGATCTTGTCACAACTTTTAGAGCTCCACAAACAAGGTGACCGTGGACAATTTAATGTAAAAAAAAGACGACTTATGTGCGTGTGTGTGGGGACAAATGGCACCGTAACATTTGAAAGTCATATCTTAGGATGTCATCAGAGTAAACAATTTTATTAGGAACTGTGCTCCATGAACACAGATACAAATGTCTTCCTTTTGACCAGGTATGGCTCATTCAGACATTGTGCAGCAATGCAAGGGTTCGCACACTGTATGACTAAAAATTGTTTTATCATCCTTTGTCACACCAATTACCAATTAACAGGAACAGCTGTCTCGAGGAAAATGTATATTGTAAGAAAAGACAATATAATATTTGAGAGAAAACCTCACCAGTCAGGTGATACCCTGTGAGAAGCACTTGGCAACAGTGGGAAGGAAAAACTCCAGTTTAAAGGGAAGAAACCTCCAGCAGAAGGCTCATTAGGCACCTGGCAGTGCTTTTTAAATGGAAAAAGTATTTACCTAACAATAGAAAATAAAAGCTTATATATAATAAGCTTTTTCGTAAATTAATGGGCAATTAAAACTAGTTAAATGGTCATTTCATTGTTATATTGTTATGAAATGATGATTTTTAAAAAATTGTTCCAGTCTGTGTAACAAATACATTATCCTATGCATTCTATATAGTAATAAATATGACATCACAGTTGATTAGAGACAATTACAGTCTGATGAGATCTGCACTTATAACATTTGCTAATGATAAATAAAGAGCTATTGTTATTTTGTGATAAAGGTTTTTTTTTATCGATCAGTACGCATATCTCAGTTCCCCGAGTTTTAAATATTGCATTTAGTCAAAGCCGGAGGGTTTTTAACAGCAGTAAAACAAGTGCCCCTCCAAACTTTCCCAAACACGAAATAAATTAAATTCACCACCATCCAGTGTAAGGTTTATGCCACAGCTGCTCTAAATGAATGTTAATGGTAATTGCTGAAATACTTTTTCATGTCTCTGCAATGGTTAATCCACCAGTATGCTTTAATTAAAAGGATAATTGTAATGCCAAAACATAATTACTGTTGTTATCCATAAATTTTCAGATGAACTGTTTTTCAAAAGAGCTGAAAAAAAGTAAAATACATTATTTGTTTTAAACTAAGATGTCAAATTACAGTTATTTACTCACATTCCCGAACAAGTAAATAACTGTAACTGATTTACACCACCCGCAAACCTATGCAGCTTCAAAACAAGTATTTTAACACCAGTTTTAACTTTATACTAGCCATTCAAAAATAGCTATAGATGTATCAAACAGTATTTATCAGCCAAGAAATTTTTATGAATCAGTTACCACTTTACAATGACAATCACATACTATTAAAAGGTTGTATATTAATCAGTTAGTAAACATTAATTAAAATGTCAGTGTTGTTGACTGAAAAGAGTTACTTCACATTAAAGATTTACTATCTATTAAAACCTGTTACTATAAAGTGGTACCAGTTGATGAATGCGTCAGGAGAGAGAAGACCAACCTCTCGATCAAGACCAGGCGCCACTGTCACAATGTCTCCGGTCTCGCTGTTGATGGTAAACATGTTAGGGATCGGACTGTGCGGTGTCTGGGACAGGATCCGGTAGCGCACCATTCCATTAGCTGTGGTGTTGTCATCTGCATCAAATGCTGACAGATGCATCACATATGTTCCTGATGAAAAACAGAAAATTTGTCAGCATTTATGTCCACCGGCATACTCTTTATCGATCAACTACCAACCATTACAGTGGCTTATTATAGCTATCTTTGTAAATAACTTGATTGATACATGGTGAAGCTTGACCTCCCCTCTGTCTACTACCAATAGTCATTGTAGGGGTGGGCGATATAAACGATATACGATAGAAACAATATATATTTGGCCAACGATAGAGATTTTGACTATATCGCTCTGTTGATGATGTCATCAAGCTGCGCCTGTTTTGGTTGAAAGCATCGCAGCG